TTGTTGGAACCATCAACAACATAGTACAGGTTCTCTGTACTACTAGCACCAACAAGAGCAGATACATGCAATTACCTTTAACACTAGTAGTAGTATTCCTACTGGCCTATTCCTTCTGCAATCAAAGCTGTTCTAGTACTAGGCTTCCAAGTGGCAGCATGCTACTACTAGTAGTATGATGCAAATAGCAAGAATCTGGACTCCTCAGTACTTACTACTAGTAGCACTACAGAGGAGGTCAAGATTCACTAAAATTGAGCAAACTGGCATGTCTACCCCCCTTGCAAAAGGGATTTCTACAGCAAATTGCTGTACATCTTGTACTAGGAAAGTTGAATTAGATCCATTTTGCACTCCAGTTTGTTGCTCCTCTGCTGCTTGTTGGTTCAACTAGTAGTAGTAGTATTACTAGTAGCAGATGATGCTAGTACTACTGGAAACGCGCTACTACTGCTTGCATACAGTCTTGACTTGCTAGAGAGCAACCATTGTTCATTTAAGCTTCTTTGTTATGCTTTATTCTCCTTAGTAGAATTGTCCCATGGAAATAACAAATGCTGCTACTAGTATATCTACTACTAATCTTGTTCTTTGAGAAACTTCTCAACATCATCTAGGTGTGAATTGGCATTGTGGAATGTACTGATTGGGTGAATTCCAGAGGAAGCAATGGAGGAATCAAATGAGTGAAAAGATTCAGAGCTTTCTTCCATTTGTTGCGTGAGTTTGGAACAAACACCAGTGAATTGTCAGCTGTCATTTGTCCTCATACTAGTGATATCATCAGCACCAGGAGAAGAAGATGGCAAAGGTGACAACAAAGGTGACAGAAAATTGTTAGAAGGGTTTGTTCTAGGCTTCTTCTTCCTCCAGTTGTTCTCCTCATCATTCTCCTTTGTTGTTGCTGATGATTTAGGATACAGACGCGGAGGACGTGGAGTAGTATTACTACTAGTAGTAGGGGATGGAGCAGGCCTGGGAGACTTACCCATCTTGATGCCACCTCTCTTGATGTTGATAGGAGACTGGAAAATAGCTGGTGCTTTTTCATCCTCTTCTTCCATTTCCTTGAACTGGAGTTGAAGGATCATTGCGTTAGCAGACTTTCCCCCCCCCACACACACCTGGATAGAAGTGACAAGGACTTCTGCAAGATAGATAGAAGTATTAATCCTGTTCCAAAACTTGAGAAAGCCTTCAGACCAGATGCATCCATCCTGGTGTTCCTTGAGATTCTTTGCTTCAATTCCCATGCTAGTCCAGAGGCCATGAGCTCTATTAAAGGTTGAATAAGCTGATCCATCTGGAGCTATCAACATATCTAAACCAACCTGTGTCATGCAACTGCAACTTCTCATGAAATCAGGCCACCTGCATCAAACATGGAAGGTATACTCATCAATCCATTGAAGAACAAAGTCTGATTCTTGGGCACCAGTGTGGATGAGCAGTTTAATCAAAACATAGTCCACCATATCATCTGTTTTATGGTCAAAGGTTGTCCATCTTCTGGAAAGAGCTGGATACATGAGAGATTTGCTAACCCACTGCATGCCTCTGTCAGGAGTAGTCTCCTTCTTCTTCTGCATGCTGATAGACATGCTCCTTCCAGCAAGCTCTGAAAGCATTTCATCTGTTGTTGTCTGCCAGCTCTTCTGATGCTTGTTGTTTTCCTTGTCTTCAGATTCCTTGCCTTTGGATTCCTCTTCCTCCTTCTTGGCTCTGGCTATTGCTGCAAGCTTCCATTCTACTTCTTTGTATGGACCAATAAGACAAATACCTTGGTTCTGTAGATCTTGGGTAATTGTTGCCATACTCTAAACAGCCGAGAGGTGATGACAAAGAACCAACTGTGCAACAACTGACAATGATGTACCTTCCCAATCTTGGGCCAACTTGATTGTTTGATGTGGTTTTGGGTGTAAGCTGAGCTTCTATAGTAGTTGTAAACAGAAGAAGGCTTGTTTTCAGGGTCCCAGCCTTCTGCTCCAGCTGTATTCAAATGGAGCCAAAAGTTGTAGCAAGCAATCTGCTTTGATAGCTCTAGTTTCCAGAGGAGGATGATCCAGCTCTTGCCATTGTGAATTATGAGGGCATCAAAGCCCCAGAAGGATCTTATACCATGCTGCTTATTGTTGTCAATACTGTTGTTTGTTGTTGCTACTGTTGCTGCTGCTTATGAAACAATCCTGTAAGGCAGTCCTTTAGAAGAGTTTAGTTAGTTTAAAACAGCAGTCCAGGAGCAAAAATTCCTCTATTTATGCTCAACTTTTATGTGAATTAAGTGTTTACCACAACTGTTACTAGAACAGTTACCAGAATCTGGTAGCATTTAAGGTAGCAATCCTGTATTTCTACCCGTCTACCATAAATCCTACCAGATTGCTACCAGACTGTTACCGGATTGCTACCATCAATTCTACCAGATTGCTATCACAAAAGCTACCAGAATAAATGCTGCATATTGAGTTTAGTATTAAGTTCACAGGACTCATTTAAATGCTTAATTTTGTGTGTTAAGCAGTGCATGCTGGTTCCATTCCACTAATGGGTTTAGTAACTAAGGTACACAGTAAAATTGTCAATGATGATTGTCCCCATACATTCCCATACCGTGTACTGTTTGTAGGTACTGGTACTCCGGTAAGTTCAAATATTTTGTGCAAGGCACAAGGTGTAAGGCACAAGGCACAAGG